CTTCGTCAAAAGTCCTCATAACAGTAATTGAAAAGACCTCGTAACAAAAAAGACTATTTTGATTTCAGCTCAAATTCTATTGTCTAAAATATTTTTACCCCTTGATTTTTTTTCTCCGTTTTTTTTGAAATGTTTTGTTCCAACATTTTTTCCAATGCTTTTAAAGGGCATGGCAGTTTTTCAAGAGTTTGTGCAACAGCACAAAACCTCTTTCACGCTGTCTTGCATGTCCACAAAAGTTGAGAAAGTTAGCTAAAATTTGAGCGATCAATTAGTATGAAGTACTATTCAAAAACTATTCTTCGAAGTCATGAGAAAAAAAGAGAACAACTGTTTTCATCTGTGATATTTCAAAATTCTATCTTGGTACTATGAAAAAGTTTTTAAAAAGTTTTTCAAACTGTTGAATTGTAGAGAACTGATAATTCATGTACTGTCCTGTAGGTTCCGTATATTCTTTTTTCTATTTTTTGATCTTTTTCTATATCTAGTTTTACGTCTTATTCTCCATTATCCTCTTAGATTATCAGCGAACGTATTCTTATAAAACTGTACGAATACTACTGAATCACAAACAAAACTATGGAATTTTGAGCAAAAAACACTGATTGACCCTCAGTTAATTGACAGTTAAACGGAGATTTATTGTTCATAAATGCTTTAACTATATTAACCATACCTAAATAAAACCTTGGTTCAAAACCTATTGTTTTAAACTTTTTTCTTAAAAAATTTCTCTTCCATCTATGAATGTTCACTTGCCCTCGGTTACATTTTGTTTCTGAGAAAGTTACAATTTTTCTGAAATAGCAAGCTCTCACTCTCCTTTCATCTGTGTTTGTTCCTTTCAAATGCATCTGTTCCGGCTTTCGCTTCACTCATTGTTGCGTAAACTTCAAAAATGTTTTCTTTGCAAATGTGCTTGAAGAATCATCCATATTCTGTTTCTTTCATATTTGGTAAACAGAAAAAAAAACGGCTTTAAAGTGGATTTTTGTTTTGTAAAACAGTCGTCAAAGCAAAGGGATGCGACTACCATATTTGCTCCATCAACGAGTTTTTGTAGTCACTTATTGATGGTAGAAGAGAAGGAGATGAAGTCCCTCTGTCAGGAGTTGTAGCAGAAAGCATGATGCTTTCAGGTAATTCCTTTTATAGATATCAGATCAAGGATAGGTCCACGCATACAGTCACCAAATATGTGAACGATAAAAAAAAGTCATAAAGCGATCAATGAACTCTCAATCAGAATAGAATACGGTTGTGAAAAAGTTGTATCAGGTGGAGTTGAAAAGTTCTGCATTAGTAGTAAATTTAAAGAAGTGGATCTGGACACAGACTCGCTATACTAGGCTCATGCTGAAAAAAAATTTAAATAAATGACTGTATCAGATGCAAATCAAGGCAGATGCAAATTCTAACTTTCTTCTAATGTGTTGCAGTAGTATAATAAGCGGGAGCCTTGACTGTTTTATAAATGTAGCTGTACCGAGATGCTGACTTTTTGCAGATATGAAAACAAGTAAGATAAGTTTATTTTAGCAGCGAAAAAATAAACAAACGAGTTCCAAAAGGTTCTGAAGATGAAACTAGGGCATTGAATAGCAGAAAACTCAAAAAAGTACTAGAAGAACTGTGAAACTTTCTTCTAGGCAGATGCAAATTCTAACTTTCTTCTAATGTGTTGCAGTAGTATAATAAGCGGGAGCCTTGACTGTTTTATAAATTTAGCTGTACCGAGATGCTGACTTTTTGCAGATATGAAAACAAGTAAGATAAGTTTATTTTAGCAGCGAAAAAATAAACAAACGAGTTCCAAAAGGTTCTGAAGATGAAACTAGGGCATTGAATAGCAGAAAACTCAAAAAAGTACTAGAAGAACTGTGAAACTTATGGTTGCTTTGTATGAGCAGTCAAACAAAGTACTCCGTGAGTTTTATCCAAAGGGACAATTTCAACATGATGGAATCCACACCAAACCGTTCAATTATCAAACTGCGGCAATCTTAACATACAAGGCTGTGATTTTTAGACTTTTGTTCTAAATTTTTTTATCAAAGTTTCAACAGGTTTCAGCGTAGTTTCAGCTAGACAGAACCTAAGTAATTAAAAACGTCATATGAAACAAATTATCTCTCAAATTAAATTATACCATCAAAACTTATCTTGAATTTTTCTAATCTCAATTTTTGATAAAAAAATTTGAAAAAAAAATCAATTTATGCGCAAAAACTTATCACTGTTGACATACTATGAGCCCAAACAACAAAATCACATCTTTCTACAACCCAAACTAAAAACTTGTATCAATTAGATAACGCGCGCCAAAAAACTTTTCAACAGAAACCACAAAAAGACCATTTTCTTACAATTCTCTTACCATTTACCAAACACTGAAACTTTACCATTTCTATTCCCGATCTTAATACATTGTAGACTCTACAGCTAATTATTATCAAATGCCTTAGACTAAATTTTTATCTTATTAACCTCAAAATTTTACCGAATGTTTCATACGTAAAAAGTATTTCGATGCTCTTTGCTGATTTTGAATGACTTGAGCGCTGTCTGGGCGGGTGTGGTAAGCAATTTAGAATGATTAGTGTTTGTGGCTTGAAGGTCATCAAAGCCTAGCCCGGAAACATAATAAAAAAAATATGGCCTGCAGTTTTTTATATATATGGTGTTTCATAACTTAGGTTATGAAACACCCTGTGCTGAAGAGTTGCATACAAATGTGTTAGAATTGACACCCTTTTAAAAAAGTTTTATAAACTGTTAAACCTTTAAAAAGCTTGTCAGTTCCAACTGAATTAACGCGTGAACTTGGCTTTTTCATTGTAAAACAAAAAAGGGCTTTTTTAATATTGTTTTATATATAATTTTCGAAATATCTCTATTCATCAAATCTGTAAAAATGTATTCATCAAAAACAACCCGCAGAAAAGTGAAAACAAATCAATTATTATGGATTTTTGTGGTATAATGTTGTAATTATAATTGATTCCCATGTTACGTTGAGACAACAAAATTGGACTAAAAATGGATTCAAATCCATTTTTTTCTCCCAAGAAAATACATTATAATTCATTTTGAATCCATTATAATGGACTTTATAATAAGTAGGAAATCACATTAAAATGGATTTTTTTCCCACTTTATTTTGGTCTCGCGCGTCGTGCAAAATTTTCAATATTTATCAAGTGAGTTATGCGGAAACTTTGCAAAGCGAGTGTACGGCCTAATGCATTTCAAAACCTAAAATCAATTTGCAAAAAGATTCTGTTGAGCTCCCCCCCCCCCCAACGTTTGCCCCTCTTAGCTCCCCTCCAATCCCCCTAACGTTTGCCCTTTTGCTCCCTTCCTCCCACTGAACCCACACCCCCCAACCTGAACCCATGCAGGTAAACCCACCCACACTGAACACCCCCCACCTGAACACCCCCCCCCCCCCCCAACCTGAACACCCCCCGCCTGAACAACTCCCCCCACCTGAACCCTCATTGCCCCCCACCTAAACTCACACCCCACAGGGGGTTTGTTCTAAATGGGCAAATACTAGGAGGGGTAAGATTGAGTAATATAAAAAGTAACAAAAATATCAAAGTTAGGTAGAAAAAAATTTCAATTGAATAACAAGTAACCAACGTAACCAACTTTATTTTGAAACGTAGAAAAGATGTTATGTACGTTGAAATTCGCATCTCAGTAAAAGGAAAAAAAATCGATTATAATTTAGTTTCATTGAACGAGAGTGTCAAGTTCAACCAAAAACTCATCGAAGATATATCCATGACAAGCAAGAAAGTCTTTTTCACTCATTTTTTGCTCACTTGTTTTTTTAAACGTAAACCAAGTAGGGTTCTGGTTCTTCAACCGGGTCATCCTCCGACTTTGCTTTATTTTCAGCTTTTTTTGTTGAAAGCATCAAACAATCTTTTCTTGAATAACTGAAGTTTAAACTAAGAAAAGTATCACGCATATTCAAATAGAGGTTACAACCCGTCTCAAAAGCAAGT